CAAGAAAAAAAATAAAACAAAGGCAAAAGGATTACAAGAAAAAAAAATAGATTGCAAGCAAAGTGACTACAAAAAAAGAAGAAAGAAATGAATGAGATGGATATACAAATTTGAAATTTTGACTAGAAAACAAAATATATTATTACTAAATATACATATATATTTTGATTTCTTTTCATGTAAATTGTGGTTTATATGCTAGATAAGCTTTTAAATTGTCAGGTAAACGTAATTGTTTGATTTGTTTTCGATCAACATAACGTAAAATATTTCGTCGTGTTACTTCTTTTAATGTTGTACATGTATATGGTAACGAATAAACTTCAATAAGACGTACATTTAATGATGGTTCAATATTTTTTAAAACAGCTAATGTTGAACCACAATTTGATAATGATGGATAAATATTAAATAAAAGTGAAAACTCATTTGTAAATACAAATGGAGAAAAGAATGGACCACGATAATCAATAATACTACGTGTATGTAATAATGTTGATGAATTGAGAATATAAAGAAAATAATTACGTTTAACACGTTGAAATATTGGAACTAAAATGACAAAAATTTATTAGTAAAGTCATTTTTATAGGTATTATGTTTTCACTACTTACGTGTGCATAGAACAATAATAAGATGTCCATCATTTGTATATTCTACACGATAAACTTTCGTTTTTAATGTATGATTTGAACAAACAAGTACACGATCTTTTGTTATATCTGTTATTTGACCACGAACTGTATCAAATTCAGCTAAACGTGAATGACCATAACGTGGATCAAATGAAAAACGTTGATCATAACCTAATTAGAAGATTTACTAAATTTAATTCATTATTTCTAAGTTAAAACTTACGAGCAGGTGTTATACGTAGTATAGCATATGTTTTTATATCAAATATAACCGTGACTTCATGTATTTGATGACTATATGAATGCTTATCTTCATAATCAGGTGTAATTAATAATTTCGTTCGATCAGGTGATATTAAACAAGCATATGATCTTGCATTAAAACGATGAGCAACAGAATTAAGTTTTCGAACAATTCGACTATTCCATGTTGATGAAGATGATGATAGAGAAAATGTTGGAGGTGGTGGTGGTGATGATGATAATAAAACTGAATCATTATTATCCATACAATTACATACTAAGGATGATAGATAAGGTGTTGAACGATGTTTAGAACCATTGATTAAATTTTGAGGATTTTTACTATTTACTAATTCATTTGTATTTGAAATTGAATTTGAACGTGTATTTCCCGAAGTGGAACTATAATAAAAGAAATGATTTGAAAATTATAAGCATTCATTTGGACACAATTACATCTACTCTACCAACCCTGTTATGCTAAATATAGAACTATAGTAGTTAGCAATTTAGTTTGCTTTTTTCTTAGAAGTGATGCAGTGTTTTGGAATAATTATTACTCATCGAAAATAAATTTGAACCTCGACAACTATAATTACTATCTGATGCAAACTATATGTATATCTACTGAGTATTGTACTATTTTTCTAAGCAGAAGTCTAAAAAAGCGTATTGGTGAATGCTATACAGTCGAATTAATAATTTAAGAAGGTGACGACAATACACATTACGATGAATATCTCACCGACTGGTCAATTTTCCAAATCGAATCCTCGACATAGTCGATGATATTGTATTGTGAGAAATGTTAGTATTATTGTTAGTATTATTATTAGCAGCAAAAGCAGCAGCTGAAGCAGTTACCAGTGTACATCGAGCTGAACCAGTTAGATAAGAAACTTTTTTTGTATTATCAACAAATTCATATGCATCATTTTGCATATCTAAACGATTTTCTGTATCATTCAATAATGAACATGATTTAATTGGTGATCGTTGTGGTTCACCAGTATAATAGGCACTTAATGTCGCTGTTTGCATTAATGAACTATGTCGATTAGGTGTATTTACACGTATTGTTGAATCAGATTGTTGTTGAGATGGAATAGGCGATGATTTAGGTCGTTGAGATTGTCGATGAAGACATGTACATTTTTTTGATGAAGATTTACTTTCAGATGATTCTGTAGGAATAGGTCGATCGAAAACAAAAATTTCCACCTAGGATAATTTAATATAGAAACAAAAAAAACGAAATGAATTATAAAACATACTTCATTGTTTCCTTTCCAAAGTTGAAAGACTATGAATTCGTCACAGCATGCAATCACACGGTTTAAACGATGTATACGTTCACGTACAGTATTATCATTTGTACGATAACGTTCGATATTTGATGGTACAGTAAGAATAATATCATCTTCACCATGTTCACTCAATATAAACTGTGCATCACCGAGACGTGTTAAACTTTTAAAAAATCTTCCATTCACATAATATACTGGTTTAGGATTTATACGTCGTAAATCGGAATCATTCGAAGGTGTTGTTGACGTACATGTTACTGCTGATGATGAACTTGATAAACTCATTGCTGAACCAACTAATGCAAATGCTGATGGATTATTATGATTACGTATATTTGATTTATTAGTTAAAAATGAAATAGATGATGGAACAGATGTTGATGTCAATTGAGTTTTTGTTTGTACAATGAAATCATTTGTTAATGATAATGATGTTGATACAAATGATGTTGGAGTTGAAAATGAACTTGATGAAAGTGATGGGAGAACAGATAATATTGTATTATTATTTGAAATTATTTCACAACCACTATCGGTACTGAATTGATTAAAATGACCAAAACGACGTGCATCATAATAGATCCATTTTTGATAAGGAATAACAACAATTTTACGTGCACCAGGCGGTTGAAGAACACCGGGAAGTTGTTTTTTATTTACGGTTATTCCGTTACCCATCTAGAATTATTAAAAAAATCAAGATAATAAAAATGCAGAAAAGTCATGAGATAACTCTATCCTCCCTCATCCAAATTTTCTTCTTCTTTTTTCTTCCTTAGACTTAAGAACAGAGGTTTTTTTTTCATCAAAATTCTTATGAAAAGAAAGAGAATTCTTCTTTTTTTTTGCAAAAATGTGAAAAGTCCATTATTGTATTAAATTGAAATAAACTCATACACGCACACACACACACACAACAAAATGAGTCAGTATTTTTCGTCGTTGTCGTCGTTCTGTCTGTGTGATTTGTGACACGAAAACAGAAAGGAAAAAAAGAAGGAAAAGATGAACGACACGGCACACAAATAGATAATAAATGAACATTGTACAAATTCGGTTATGAAAGAAAACAACTTTAAGGAACGCAAAATATCATTCTAGAGTGGAGACAAGGCACAAATAAATATTTATATGTATACGCGCATAATATTGCAAGAAGACAAAAGAAAAATTCGACACTGTACAAACAACAAAAAATATATAAATAAGAAAGCCGAGAGACTAGAGGCAGAAAGGAGAAAAAAAAGGTGGGATTGAAATGAGTACATAAGAATTGCACACCTTACACGCACTTATAGAAAAAACAAACAGTTTTTTTCCAGATCGACAGAGAAAGAAGAAAATTAGAAATAACACCTACACATCTACATGTACATGTTTAAGACAAGAAAAAAACAAAGGAACGCATCAACAGCCTGAGATGACAAATAAATGTATGAGTATCATCCATTCGTACATATATGTGTGTGTGCGTGTAGTTTTTTGTTATACAACGTAGACAGATATCACAATATGCGAGAAGAGAAGGAAAAACAGAGATGCAAAAATGAAAAAAAAAAAGGAAAAATTCTTTTCTCTTTTTCTTTTCAAGGTAACAGATGATCAACACTTGGCAATGTGTCTGGCGGTGATGGTTTAATAAATAATGAAGGTAATGATGTATCGGTTGGATTAGGATTGCTATGGCCATTCATATATGGTTCAAAATCGCCGAAACTAACATCATCAAATGAAGCAGCCGTATCGAAATCATCATTTAATAAAAGAGAATTTAAATTTGTATCACTACCCCATGCTGTTGAAAAATCAAAAGAATTAAAATCTGTTTGCCATTGTTGTTGATCAGCAACAATTGATTGTATTGGTAGTGGAGGTTGTGGTGGTGGAAGAGAAGCAGGAGGAGGTGGAGGAAGAAGAAGTGGCATAGTTACTTGTACATGTTGCTGTTGTTGTTCTTCTTGTTTAACTTTTTTTGCTGCTCGACGTCTTGGTGCTGGTTTATCATTATTATTTTTCTTTGCTGGACTTGCTTTAGTTCGAGCAGGTTTAAGTAATAGATTGTCAGTTTGTCCTGTTGGTGTTGTATGTTCAAAACGATGTATTGTATCAATAATATTATCAACACCAGAAAATGATGATGAATTAAGACCTTTAAGTAATGTACTTAGGGTTCGTGGTTCAACCACACCATTTACTACGAGACAATTGCCACCATCATCTAGAGTTGATTGACCACTTGAATGAGTACTATTAGGTTGTGCAGGAGCAATAGTTCGATTTTGATGAGATGTATTATGAATGGGAAGCTCTAAATAGAAATAAATATTCATATATCATTTTTATATGTTTTTTAGATCATTAAAAAGTATTTTACAAGTTTTAATAAATTTATATACTCTAAACTGTCTCATGTTCCCTTTGTCTTAATCAAAATAAAAATTTATTAACAAACCGTCTGAATGAGTAATCGATGGTGTTAAAACCAATCTTTGTTGTGATGATTGATCATGTGTAAGTTTTTGTTGAATAACATATGGTTTATTATTAATAAAAAATATTTGTTGTGGTTGTTTTCTTTCATCACCATTATTATTATTATTGTTATTTATATTATTACTACTAAAAATAATTTGTTGTGGTTGTTGACTATAATCATTTGTATTTGTCGTTGTTGGTACATGAAGTACAACAGATTGACGAGTTGTAGAATTTGCAATAGGTAATAAATTTGTTGTTTCTGTACAATTTTTTAAACCAGATGAAATAATTGGAAGTTTTTTCTTAATCGTTGCTGTTGATAATAATGTTGCTGGTGGAGATGATGATGATATTGATGATATATTATTCCGTTGTTGTTGTGTTTGTGCTTTTTGAAATAGATGATTAACAATAGCATTAGAATCAGATGCTGCACCTGATGCAAGTGCTGATAGAAGAAAATTTGTTGTTGATGGATCATTAAAATCAATCATTAATGGTTGAGATGAATCATTGGTTTGTTCATTATTAGATTTTATTAATGAATATTCATCGAAATTTGTTGTTGATGGTAATGGTGCAATAGGTTTTGGTGTTGTTTTTGTTACCATTAATGGCGTTTGATTACTTGTACCCATAAGAGATATAACATCAATTTGATTTGATGTTGCCGCTGCTGTTGTCGTTGTTGTTAGACATGGTTTTTGAGCAGCTGCTGGTGATCGAACAAAATCTGGTTTAAGTGCATTAACATTCAATGTTACAGCTTTACCAGTTGTTGTTGTTGATACAGTAGATGAAGCTGATTCAACACGTACACGTTTATTATTATTATTATTATTATTGGTATCTCTATTAGGTGAAAGAAGAACGTTCTGTACACCAGATAAAACAGCAATTGTTGATTCATTTGTTGTTGGTTTAACTTGTTCAAATAGAGATGGAACTCGAGCAATAACATTTGTATCTGTTGTGGATGATGGAGTTAAAACATTATCATTAATATAACGAAGATTATTGTTCGTATTTTGATGATGAGTTGATGGTGATGTTGAATTTCGATGAATGAGATTTGTTTGAGATGTTGATGAAACAGATGCCGGTGGAGAAAGAATGGATGACGGTACAGGTTGAGTTTGTTGTTGAGAATCAAGATTAGCTTTAACAGATAATTGAGCAATGACTGGTGGAGTAACAGTAGTTTTACGAGGACGACCACGTGGTCGTTTCGACGGAGGAGTAACACCTGTTTGTTGAAGAGGAGTCCATGTCATCGATTGGTCATTTTCTAATATATTTCGAAAAATGAAAATTTACAAAAATATAAAAATTTCTACCTGATGTTTGACCGGCATTATTAACAAAGACAACTGATTCATTATTTGTTTGTAGAATATTTGATGAATTCGATGCACAAACAAATACATTACCATTTGTTGTTTCAGCATGTGGTCGTTTTCGACGTTTAGCTATTTATAATAAATACAAAAAGGATAAAAAAAAAGAACGAACGAGATGAAAAATTTATTCACCTAGTTTTTGTTCTGTTTCACAAAATGAATCAATACAATTTGTTAATGTTGCCATTTCTAATATATTTGATTTTTGTCGACAATGAGTACCATCAAGAACTTGTGTTACCTCCCAAGATTTAGATTTTATCGTGGAATCAAAATTGAAAACCTATATATATATATTCAATTTTATTCTATAATTTTCAGAGATATAAATTATCGAACAAACCTTATCAACAATAAGTGGACATTGAAGACCACATTTGCATGATGTTGGTGTTTCAAGATATTGACGTACAGCATCCAGTGAATCAAGTATGACATTAGTTGGACTGAAATAATAAATGAAAGAAATTAGGAAAATAATTCTAATATCAATCCGAGATTATGAGTTGTAAGTGAAGCAATCCTACTCTATCTCAATGTACTCATATGAATTGACTGCAAGAATCCATCACCATAGCTCCGGGATGTAAGAAAAAAAAGTGTCTGTAAAACCGATACTGAATAGATTTGGTAAAATAATTTACCCACCCTCAAGTTTACAAATCATAATACTTCGTTCGAGTTAGTCTAAGATTGAAGATTACATGCTGAAGCTTGGCAAGTTCAAGTACAATTTTTATGCAAAAGAGCCAATTCAAGAATATGAAAACTCAACAATAGTATCATTTGAATACAAACAATCTGATTACATAAAGTCATATGTTAATTCATGCAAATTATAAATATATGTACAATCTCGAAAATTATCAAATTGAGATGACATTCTCTCTTATTTTCATCACAATACATCTGCAATATTTATCACAATCCGCTCTTTTTTTTTCTCTCAAACATTGAAATATTCTACCTAAGATAAACAACAAAATCTGGTGCTAATATTCTTCTTTGCCATCCATATGGTACAGGTATATATTCCATTGATTGTAAATGATTTATTGTTGTTAATTGTGTATTTGATGAATTTTTCATTGTTTTTTTAGTACGTGAAAAATTTGGTGAAAGTGACTCATCTTTAACAATAATTCTTGTTAAAGCTTTTGCCTCTTTTTTTACACGTGATTTTTTAATAATTGTTGAATGTTGTTGTTCATTTGTTGATGAAAAATTAAATGAATCAATATGTATATTATAATTTGTTGTTGTCGTTGTATTTGTTTGATGTTCATCAACTTCTTTAATATTTTTTAATATTTGTGAAACTATTTCAGTTGTCTGTTTTTCATCAAATTGACATTTTTTTGTGACATGTTCATTATTTAATATATTCGTTGGTTGTTGTTGAACATTTGTTGTATGAATATTAACATTATAATTATTCACACTTATATTATTTGCTGTTATATTACTTAAATTAGTTGTATTTTGCATTGAATTTGTTGTTGATTCAATAATTGTTTTAGGTTTAAATGGTGATGGTAAACGTGTTACATTGATCAATGGTGGCTGTTGTTTAACAGGTGTATCATGACTAGATGAAGAATTTTTAGTACCTTGTTCAGATGGACGTTGTTGTTGTTGTTGTTGTTCATCTATCTGACTAACAAGTGACGATTGTGAATGAACAAATCGTACGAGATGTGTTGGTGAAGCACTACTACTGCTATTCAATTGACTAGATGATGGTAGTACTTCACTACAACATGATTGAACAAGTTCATCAATTGTCACATTAGCAGCAATAGTTGATGATTGATCTTCGTTATTTGTACTATTAGTAGTAGTAGTTGTTGTAGTATTATTGGTTTCATTTGTAAATGATGTTTGTGTTGAAAGATATGTTTCTGTTGTTGTCGTCATAATACGAGTTCGATAAACGAACTAAGAGAGATTTTAATGATCATATGAATATAAACAGATTATACAAAAAAAAAAAAACAATCTAAAAAATGAATTCATTTATTTATTATTATTATTATTATTTGTTTTCTTTCTGTTCTCATTGTGAGTATTGTTGTTATTATTGTTGTTGTTGTTGATTCAACAGCCATAATCGAATGACAAAGAACTCTTTATTGGTTTTTATGAAAGAATTATTTTTTGATAATATTTGGCATTTTTCTTCAATGAATCTTATTCAAAAAAAAAGAAGTTAAGAAAATAATTATTTTTTTGTTTTTCCTATAAAAGAAAACAGTAGTGGCATCTATAGGAAGTAAAGGCTGTTGCTGAAGAAACAAACATAAGAAATATGGACATTATAACCGTATACTGCATTTGAAAGATTCAATTGTTAATGCGATGCGAAAGCAGAAGCATTTATGTGGTCCTTCGCGAGTTTTTCTTTTTTCCTTCCTGTCTCGACGTACACATTCAAAATGGTCATTTTCTGACGAGATGATCTCAGCAATGGAATATCAGAAAATACTGATTCAAACGGGAGATTAACATTTGAACATTAAACTGATTTCACACGTTTTCCGATTTTCAATAGGACGTTTAATTCGTTTGCAGGAAGTGTCACAAAAACACGATTTTGACTATTTTAAATTTCGAGATAATTAAAACGAAAAACAAAAGCAAAAGTTAGGCGTCATTTTTGTTGAACAAATGTTTTACAGCTGAGAGAACATATGATGGATACGAAATAAAAGAGCTTTTATCTCAATAAATAAAAAAAGAATTTCATAAAAAAAACTCATTTAATTTATCAATTTCGATACTACAAATTTATTTTTTTATACTATAATTTTAAATGTTCACATTTTTATGAAAATCCTAAAAGCGTTATTTCGAAATTCTGCTTTCGCATCGCATTTCGTAGTCGAGTACAACTCGAATACCTTCTAGTTTTTTGTCATTTTCTGTTGAACATCTTGTTCTATATTATAGTTTTGTTTCCATTAGTCCATAAAACAACCAAGTAGAAAATCAAAAGTCATATAAAATCCAATATATATCTATTCTAGAACTCTATAAGTTTTAACTTCAAACATGATTTATATATGTTTGTTGACGATTAATGGCAATTCAAAGATAATGTATGATAGTTTTAGTCCTCTTCTTTTACATTTTCAACTAAATCAAACTGTGAACATACTAACATAAACTTCGAAAGATATTCACATTTCATAAAGATTACATAGTGAAGGATGACATTAACAATAATCTAGGGTGTAGCTGAGTGTATGAGAAAATTGACTCATATTCACATTATTGTTTTTATTGATTGACATTGTTGAAACACAGTTACATATTTCTGATGTTTGTTCAACACTCATAAACGATTGTTACTAGAATATTCTTTGGAGTAAGTTACAGTCATAGTTGAAGATATTTATTGTTTACAGTAAAGAAAATCAATCTTTGGGATTTATTCAAATCATAATTCATAAAAATACATTCCGAATGTACTATCGATTTGCCACTAATTTAATTTGATTTATTAAAATAAATATTTTAAAAAAAAATACTTTTTAAGAATATTTAGTCGATGACATCATGAGCTGCACGATGTTTTAACAGATCACGTGGTGTAAAAGCTATAGGTAATAATTCACGAAGTTTATATGCTTTTGATTCATTTTTTGGATTAATAAGATAAACATCTAAATCAAGACCGAATTCAGCCAATGTCTGTCGACATGATCCACATGGACCAGTAAAACCAGTTTCCACATCACTAATAAAAAAGAATATGATTTCATTTCTCGATTGTAATCCATAAACTTACGATGTAATAGCAATCTTATCAAATGACAATTCACCTTCTGAAACAGCTTTGCAAACTGCTGTTCGTTCGGCACATGTTGCTAAAGCATATGAAGCATTTTCAACATTACATCCTGAATATATTTTTCCACTCGATGTTAATAACGCAACTCCTACTCTAATGAAACAAAAGAGACGCAAATATTCCGGAAAGAAATATATTCATATATATATACCGAAAATTTGAATAGGGACAATAAGCTTTATGTTTAGCCAAATGAGCTGCATGAAATAATTCTAAAATGTATTGAATAATATATCTTTTGAAAATAAATAAAATAGAAAATTTAATAATCATTTCGAATCAATTAATATATTAATTAACTTCCATTACCCATCAAGCAAAGCGGTTTATGCAATTTACTACCTTCAAGATCAGGCGATGAGGGAGCAGGAATAATCTCTTTTTCCATCTAAATTTGTCAATATGAGAAAAATATCAAATCGAATAAACCAATATATTGTATCTTTATTACGATATATACATTTGTGAAGAAAAAATATTTGTATAAAGTTATATATCTTTACATGCAAATAAACATATACACTCAAAAAAAAAAAAAAAGAAAGATAAAACAGTAATACCAAGACAGCTGTAACTTATCACATAAAGAAAAATAGAAAAATAAAACTGATCCACACCTTTGGCTATATAGATTTAAAAAAATTGAAATACGAGACAGATAAAAGATAAAAGAAGTAAATGCCATTTAGTTAATAACTATAGTTTTTCGATTGATGAAGGATTATAGATACTATTCGTTGTTGTTGTTGTTTGACGGTTAGCATGTGGTGATTTACCACGTGATGGAGCTTCTTTGGTTTGTGATGCACTAAATGTTACTGCTGGATGGCGTCGAGGATTATTTATGTCATCACTGGGATTAATTTTTCGATGTAATAAAGGTGCTGATAATGTTTGATCAATAAGAGGATGATGAGAAGAAGACATAGATGATGTAGAATGAGATGATGGTGAAATTAGTTGTTTCGTATTAATTAGTGATGTTGATGATTGAGTAGTTGTAATAGATGTTAATTTAGGTAAATTAAAACAAGCTTTACGTATTAAATGACGGGAATTTGATTTAGATGGTCGAATTGCGCCAGGTTTAGAAAGTTCAGCTACAAATTAAATTCTTTATTAATTTACAAAAACAAACTTTAGAAAAATTTGTTTACCTAAATGTAATGCATATCCATCAGTAAGAAAACGTGCTTGACCTTGAAGGCGATGTTTTATTTTTCCAACAACAAATAATCTTTCAACTGGTACATGAATTAATTGATAACCAGGAACATCTTTTGATGAACCATATGCAGCTGTTATAGTTAAATCAGCTTTTTCAATTGCATTTCGTAACATTTCAGCTTTATTTTTAATTGGTTCACGTGATATACCATCATTGAAAAAGGTCATACCTTTCAGAAAAAAAGAGAAGATTATAATAAAACAAAAGATGAAATATTCAAACCATGAGGAAAATTATGTTGAGCAAGCCAATGAACAACACGACGTTGTTGAATATCAGGACGTGCAGTTACATATATAATAATATAACCTAATTCTTGCCAATATCTATTTTTAAATAAATTTTTAATTTTTCAAATAAACAAATCATTTATAGTTTATTTACCGTACAACATCGACAGCACCTGGTCGTACTTTTGGATCATGATGACTAACTGAAAAACTTGATGTAAATGAACCATCAACACTAAATATAACTGCTTCACTCTTAGGCGGTAAAACAGTTAAATGAAGATCAACTGTTGTATGATCACCTCTAAATGACACAAAAAAACGAAATTTTAACTTAAATGAAAATTCAATCAAAATATCTTACCGAACAACACATTTAACAGGATGTATACCTAATGGTAATTTTTTATCATCTGGAATTGTATATCGTATACGACCATGTGTATCTGTTTCAAGAGTATCAACCAATGTCCATTCTCCATAGGGTGCGGATCTCATCACATAAATATCGACTTTTTCATTAGCTAAACAAACCATATCAATAGGTCCATAATGAAATTTCGCATGAATTGTTTGTGGTCGTGCATCAACAACCATAGTATCATTTGCTCGATGATTTGGTGCTAAATTCTATAAAAAACAATTCAATTTTTTTAAATTTGATTATAACGATTATATTTCATACTCGTATTTTAACAGCAGTTGTACGATGTAACCAACGTTCAGTTGGTTTAATAGGAGAAAATGAACATGGATTAGAATTTGTTTGACTATTAAACAAATGAAATTGTTCTTGATTACGTGTAATCTATTGAACAAAATAATAAGAATAAAAAATTGTTTCTATTTCTGAAATAAATAATTACATTTCGTAAAATAAATGACATAACATCACGTGATTCCCAATAACTTGAATGAAAAACAATAGGTAGAACATGTGCTGGTTGACTCATTAAAGATTCTGGACAATAAACAATATAATCAACACGTCTTGAACCCCACCAAGTTTGTCGAACTATAAAAAATTCAATAAGAAAAATGTCTTATTAATTTTTCTTATTTACTATCAGAAAAAATTGTATTTGTTTCATTTGGTGTTCGATTTGTATCATTATTTAAAAATAATTTTGAATGTTGATGAACATATTCAACTATTAAAAATCAAATATAAATTTCAGTTGACAGAAAAAAATATTTATTTTACCAAGTAATGTTGATTCTCCATCACCCAAAGGAAATTGTGAATAACGAGGAATACAACATGGATGTATTTGACTAAATTCTGATTGTATTAATGGTTCTATACGAGATGCATTTGGATCACAGGCATGAAATAAATTATACAATTGTCCACAACATGGACGCACCACTAGTTTATATAAAGAATAAATCATGATAGAAGAAGAAGAAAAATAATTACCATCTTCACTAAGCATTTGTCGATAAGCAAGTATAAGTGAAAGTGGTGAACCAAATGAAAAAAATTCATTGACATCAAATGCTAACATTAAACCATCATTATTTTCTTGTCTAGTACGTGATCTAATTCAAATATTTACTAAGGAAATATACGAAATAAATCTTACATATTATCACTTGTTTCGAG